ACAGCCTGAGGATCTGTCTCAAAAAAAAAAAAAAATAGTGAAAAGCTATTCCTTAAGGTGTCCCAAGTTTATTTGGTGCACCTGGAGCCCATGAAGACATCCTTAGGCTAAGTTCAGTTGCTGACAAAACCCCTTTATTCCTTTGGTCTTTTTCTGTATTGTATCCCCTTGCTGTCTTCCTGTGTGAAGGTGTAGGGAAGCTGAAGGTGATGGGCTGTCCCTAATACGTGTACAGGTCCCACTATGGCAAGGATTAACCCCATCCCCACACGTGTATCCAGGCACAAAACAAGAGCCAGACTAGGCTTCTCTCAGAAATGATGTGACCCTGAATTTGGGGGTCTAAACGGTCCACGTGGAGCAAACATACTGGGGTTGTTACTTTCTCTACCTTGGCCCTGGTCCCACCTTGGTGATGAAAAGGCTTCTGGGAGGTATTCTGGGGCTTGCAAACCTCTGAAATGCTCATAAAACGTTAAGCCTTAGATTTGGGTTCTGGCCCGGCAGTTGCTGGACCCTGTGAGGGTTGGTTGGTAGGCACACTAGGGAGTCACTGCTTTCTGGAAGATGCGGCATAATCGGCCTGAGAAAAATGAAAGCAAAGCAAGGAAAAAGGAAACCCAATGCGAACAATTTTTGGCTTATCCAGCTCCTGGTGAGACCAGGAAGCGACCATGGAGAGGAGCCCCAAGTGGACCGCGGCAGGTGGTGACGCCCTCTTCCCCCATTTTTAGTTATGTTCCAAAGGTGTCGTCTCTTTGGCAGTATGTAGGACGTGAGGTCCCCTCGTCCTTTGAGCCTTCGTTATAGCCCTCTCGGCTCGATCGGAAAGACGTCGAATTCCACACTTCAGGTGCATAGGAACGGGTCTCGACTTGCCAGGGGCAGCCATTTTGAGACCAGACGAGCACGGAAGGCACCATATTGGTAATGCTGGCGGCTGGGGGGCGCCATTTTAAGAGAAAGCCCTGTACGGTGAAATGCCGTGGTGCGGGGGCCGCCATGTTGATGCGGCCATCTTAGGCATAAAACCGGCCCCCGACGCGTTAACTGGAGCCGAGCTCCGCCCCTCTGCTGCTAAGCATTCCTGGGCTCTGCATATGCCTTCCCGCCTTCCGCCTAAAGCCCACCCCCTTCAATCCGTTTTCCTTGCCACTTGCCTCCATTGCACTTTTGTGTTTATCTATGCCCTCCGCTTCCTCTGAGTATTGTACCTTACCCTGAGCACCCGCTCTCACGTTCGATATTCCCCTGACCCCGCCAATCTCCGATCTTGGTCACTGTTTATCCTGCTTTGACTGGCCCTGTCCCCGGGTATGGCAAATCTATTGATTGATGGTCCTCTTCCCCCAAGAACGCTAACACAGCAGCCGTCCTCTGAGGCTCTGGATGTCTTTATTCTTCAAATAGCTTTCCCTTTCCAATGGCTCCAGGTGAGACCGAAAACAAACACCTGGCCCATCCCTCTCTCCATTGTCTGAGCGGATCACAGAGGGAAATGGACAGGACGCTGGCAGAGCCTGACTGGGGGCCCTTCTGTGGGTGGAGCAAAGGGTGTCCGGTGTAAAAGGGTGAGAAAATGCGGTCGACAAATAGATGAGGGAGGGCCTTGTGCTTCAGATAACCTCACGTGGTTGGGCAAGTGTTAGGAATGGGATGCAGGGTGCCTTAGAGGATTAAGGAGAGGGAAAGATGAGGAGCTGTGAGGGGGGACAGGACAGCTCAAAGAAGAGCACAGAAGAACTTCTTCTCCCTGAAGGGGTTCTCTGAAGTGGGCACAGGGGTGATGAGGGGATCCTCACAGGCATGGGCATCACAGTAAGTCATCAGGTCTGCTGCTGCCTTGGACACCTGGAGCACAGGGGTGATGAGAGGTTGTTAGCCAGAACCTCTGAAAGGGACTGCAGCCTCTCTCCCCAAATGGGTTATCTTGAGATAGTCTTCTCCTTCATCCTCCACAGAGGCTTGGGGATAGAACCCCAAACTCCTATGACCTCAGGGAGTCAAGGAAAGAAACCATTTTTTATCCCCAGCTTTGGGAACCTGCTGCATAGCATGACTTGGTCAACTAATGAGAGCCAAGGTCCCACCCACCTTTATCCGGCACAAGCTGGCTTCAATCTTAAGTTGTTCCACCATCTTGCGTGCTTGCCCAATACTCATAGTGCTGTTCACAGGGGTCTCCCCTTTCATCCTGGAGAAAAGAGAGGGACAGGTCAGAGCACAGTCCCAGCTGACGGCTCTCCTCCATTCTCACTCCTCACCAACCTTTACAAGGCTAGGGTTGTACCCCAATATTTTTGTCCCCCTCTTACCCTCTTGCAGTAGCCTGTCCCATCCCTGTCCTCAGTGGGAAAAACATGAGAGGGATGGATGAGGTCCTTCCAAAACTCCTATATGGCCTGGCTACAGATCATTATACTAACGATTTAAGGCTTGTCAGCCCTTCAAGCCATGTGTATTCCCAGCCTCCACCAGAAAGAGCCCCACCCTGATGAGGTGGGCACATCACCCCCATGTTCCCTCATGATCCTCAATGGGAGAAAAACAGGCTGCTCCTTACTCACCTGAAGCCTGAGGCGACAGGCAGCGGCAGCAGCAGCCCTGGGATGTAGGGTCAGTGGGGGGCACCAAAACCTTCTGCCTGAGATGGGTGCTCCACCCTGCAGGGAGTTGCAGCTCAAAGTATCTGATGCAGATGCAGCCACTATAGAGAAGGCCACTGGGGAGGGCTGGGCCAGAGGTCCAGGTCCGTTGAGGACTGGTGTCAGTTTTTGCAGCTCAAGCACTGCCTGGATGGCTGGTACCTGAAGGATGAAGGATGCTAGAAGGAGCTGTTCCGATTCTGGAGCATACCAACTGCCTGACCAGTGGGGGAGCCTGACTGCTGCCTGCATCCCCTGCACACACCCCCGTTGTCACTGTCTCACTACCTGCCCTTCCCCCACTGCAGGCATCCTGAGTCTGGGCTACAGCCCTTGCCAACAGTGCTGAGGCCAAGGCAGACTCCCCTCTCAAATGGGGTGGTCTGGGCCTGTGTCAGCCCCTGCAGTAGAGTCTACTGGCTGTGGGGGGGACCCTGCTCATTTGAAAATCTGACATCAGCTGGACAGTCGCCCCCCTCCTCCCTCCCTCCCTCTACCCTGACACAGCATTTAGCACCTGAATCTTCTCCTTTTTCTCCCAGGGACCCTCCATTCCCCACATCCAGGAAAATGTGATGCGCTACAGGTATCAGCTTCTAGAACACCACTCACATTCTAGCCACAAGTGAGGAGTGGAAGATCCAGGGGCAGAAGAGGCACGCCATCAAGAAGATGTCTAAAGAAATGGCAGACCAAAGAGAAGAAGCTGGAGAAAAAGAGATATGTGGAGAGCAAATCAAAGGACCGGACAAAGAGGAGGTACGGGGCTTTGTGGGGAGAGTGGAAATAGATGGTGGGGGTTGGAAGATAGGGTGTATTGGTTTGAAAATTCAGACATTTTGAATAGATTACCTCCCACGACTGCAGGATTGTGCAACACTGGCCTTGCCCTCTGAAGGACCTTATCTGGGGTGATTAGACAATTAAAAACAAAAGATGCTACCAGCAAAGACCTAATCTAGATAATGTTCTGTGGGGACTCTGAAGGAGAGTGCACCCAGCGAGGGTCAGAGGAGGTGGACAAAACCTGGGGCTATCATGCTTGGGAGAAGGGGACAGCAGCCTGCCTGCGCAACGCGCAAAATGCCCAGGTTCCCACAAACTGCAACAATCTTTCGGCAAATGCTCCAGGCCTTAGGTGCCTACGAGTCCTAGGAGCTGTGGGAGTTAACATTTAGTGCCAGCAGAATGCCTACTTCACTCCCCCACTTCAGGGGGTTACCTGGCGGGTGGTGAAGGTGTGAGCGGAGGCTGTGATTGCTGCCTCCAGGGGAGGGCCGGGCTCGCGGGCGATGCTGACTCAACATCATCATACGCCCTGGGGCATATCTTGGGGAATACAGAGAGGCGCCTTTCCTCTTTGGTCTGGGTAACTGGAGGGTAACAAACCGGCGGCGGGGAAGTCCAGTGGCTGGCGCCAGAGGGCGGGAACCTCGCAGCCCGGGAAGCCCCGCCCCTGAACTAACTCCACCCCAGTCGAGACCCCGCCCTGTAGCGTACAAAGGCGGAGGGCCGAGAGGGGCGGGACTTCCCAGGGAGCCGGAAATCCCTGCTCGCGGTTGCCCCGGCAGCGCGCGAGGCTGGTGAGTCTGCAGAGCTGCGGCGGCCGGCAGGCGGGTTTCCATGGTGGTGAGGTTAGGTGGGGACTCTGGGCACTTGGCTCTCTGCGGCATGGGCGGATGCTATCGGGGAGCGGCCCTAGACTGCTAGTTGCCGTGCTTCACGTGTGGCGTAGCCCAGGCGGAAGCGAGCTCAGCTCGAGCGGAGAGGAGAAACTCCAGAGGCAATTGTGATAGCTCTTAGGCAGCTGCCTTTCGGTCTAGCTGTGCGTATCCACACACATACGCCAGTTGCGTCTTCTCTCTATGCAGCCGTCTGGCAGTGTGGATTAATATCATCTTGTGTGTAAAAACACTTTGTAAGAATTCTAAGTTGCCGGGCGGCGCCCATAGCTCAGTGGGTAGGGCACCGGCCACATACACCGGGGCTGGCGGGTTTGAACCTGGCCCGAGCCTGCTGAACAACAGTGACATCTACAACAACAAAATAGCCGGGCGTTGTGGACGCCTGTAGTCCCAGCTACTTGGGAGGCTGAGGCAAAACAATCGCTTAAGCCCCAGAGTTTGAGGTTAATGTGAGCTGTCACGCCGTGCACTCTACCCAGGGCCACAGCTGGAGACTGTCTCAAAAAAAAAAAAAATAGAATTCTAAGTTGCTGATTCTTTGTATGTTATATATTGCTATGAAGGCATGTCAAGGTAGTTTGCCCCAGAATCAGGTGGCTGGAGGAGTTCATCTGAGGAAATCTGGCCTTGGGAGTGAAGGGAGTACATGGGAGGAAATGGAAAGGATAATTGGCAGAGAAGCAGAATCATTTGGAGAAAGGCCACATGAAACAATGACTTTGTCTCTGTCATGCTATCTCTGGTTCCTCCAGGCAGCTTGTCTTTTTTTGTCCCCACCTCTGTGGGGAAAGGAGCCACTCTTACTCTCTCTCTTTCCAGGAACCACCAGCTACATCATCCCATGGCCAGGGGTGGCGTCCAGGTGGCAGAGCACCTAGGAACTCAAGGCCTGAACCTGGGGCCAGATCCCCTGCTCTCCCAGCAATGGTCAATGACCCACCAGTACCTGCCTTACTGTGGGCCCAGGAGGTGGGCCAAGTCTTGGCAGGCCGTGCCCGCAGGCTGCTGCTGCAGTTTGGGGTGCTCTTCTGCACCATCCTCCTCCTGCTTTGGGTGTCTGTCTTCCTCTATGGCTCCTTCTACTATTCCTACATGCCAACGGTCAGCCACCTCAGCCCAGTGCATTTCTATTACAGGTGAGAGAGTCCTGTTAATGTAGAGGAATACTATGAGAATTGCTGTAGGGCCCTTGGAGCTCATTCAGGTCAATTCCCTCATTTACAGATGAGAAAACTGAAGCCCTGTGTGCTTATAGGACTTTTCACCTTGCACTGCCCAAGGCTAGAGCAGGTCTAGGCTCTAGGGTTCTAGGGTCCTCCTCCTACCTCTTACCGAAAAAAAGAAAAAAATCCACTTCTGGGCTATCATTAAGAGGGTTAATTCTGTTTAGGTTGGATCAGACCTCCCTTAGAGCTACTGAAGAATTTTGAGCCAATCCCTTAGGTCAGCTCAGAACTGATTTATCTGGAAAGTAGCAGTTTGCTTTTTACATTACTTCCTTCCACTCCCACTAGTCTACTGAAAAGTAGAGATTACAGAAGCATAAGGTGAGTGGATACCTAAACTTGCCTCCCAGAATTCTACATCTTGCCTGGCCTTTTAGTTCCTTCCCATTATACAAACTCTGCCAAATTGTCTCTTCTCTTCTTAACAATGGCTATAGGACCAGTCAACAGATGGCAATGAAAGCAGTGTTATCAATGATCTAAAGTCATTTTTCTCCCTTAGTCCCTGGTCATGAGCTGTAGCTTCTAAGGTAGGGCTTCTTAAACTTTTAGGAGACATGGATCTTATGAAAGCTATAGCCCTTCCTGTCATGAAAATGTATACACATGCAATTTTGCCTATAATTTGAGGGACTGGCTTGGCACCTGTGGCTCAAGTGGCTGAGGTGCCAGCCACATACATCCAAGGTGGGGGGTTTGAATCCAGCCCGGGCCCACCAAACAGCAATGATGGCTGCAACCAAAAAATAGCCAGGTGTTGTGGCAGGGACCTGTGGTCCCAGTTACTTGGGAGGCTGAGGCAGGAGACTGGCTTGAGCCCAGGAGTTGGAGGTTGCTGTGAGCTGTGATGCCAGGGCACTCTACCCAGGGAGATAGCTTGAGGCTCCTGTCTCCAAAAAAAAAAAAAAAATTTTTTTGAGGGACTTCCTGTGTCTCTTAATTACCACCTGTGGATCCTTTTGTAGGTGTTTATTCAAATAGGCCCTAGACCAGAAGTACTAAATAAAAATTTCATAGAGTGGGACCCTACAATCTATATTTTTATTAAGCTCCTCAAGTGAGTTTTTAGAAAACCACCAAAATGTGAAGCTATTTAAATAAATACCCAGAGATTCCCATCTAAGAATGTTTGCTCTAATGAAAGAAAACAAGTTGAAGTTACAGTAAGAGAATGAAAGCATCTTTCTGATTACTTGAATCTCCTAGCCACATTTCATTTCTCTCTCTGTTACAGAGAGAAGGGTACCTGTTCTGAGGGAAGGGATGGGGGTGGGAAGGACCCGTAGGACCCTATAAGTATGGGGACATATGGGTAACACAGAGTTAATTTAGAGTATCATCCCCCATTCTCATTTAGGACTGATTGTGATTCCTCCACCACATCACTCTGCTCTTTCCCTGTTGCGAATGTCTCATTGGCTAAGGGTGGACGTGATCGGGTGAGTATGGGAGCTAGAGAGAAGTTTCGTTTGAGCTTTGATGACTTGAAATAGGGAGGCTTGAGAAAGACTTGGAGAACAGGTATTGAGTAACAGAGATTAAGGAAGGCTCCGAAGGGAAGGAAGGGTCAAGATAAATTAAAATCTCAGTGAATTGGGCAGTACAGGTGGCTCAGTGGGTAGGGTGCCAGCCCCATATACCAAGGGTGGTGGGTTCAAACTTGGCCCTGGCCAAACTGCAACAAAAAATAGCGAGGTGTTGTGGCAGGCGCCTGTGGTCCCAGCTACTCGGGAGGCTGGAGGTAGGAGAATTGCCTAAGCCCATGAATGGGAGGTTGCTGGGAGCTGTATGATGCCATGGCACTCTACCAAGGGCGATAAAATGAGACTCTGTCTCTATTAAAAAAAAAAAAAAAAAAAAAATTCAGTGAATTGTGTGTATTGATCTGCAGCAGACATTAGGAATGTTCTTATTTTCAACATATATAATAAGTATCCAACTTGCAATAATTTGACCAAACAAATTTTCAACTTTACTGTGGTGTGAAAGCATTATGTATTCAGTAGAAACTCTACTTCAAATACCCACACAACCATTCTGGTTTTCTCATTCAGTACATATTCAATAAATTACATAAGACATTCAACACTTTATTATAATAAAATAGGCTTGGTGTTAGATGATTTTTGCCCAACTATAGGCTAATCTGTGTTCTCTCAGCACATTTAAGGTAGGCTAGGCTAAGCTGTGATGTTCACTAAGTTAGTGTATTAAATGCATTTTTGTGGGTTTTTTGTTTTTGGGTTTTTTTTGTTTTGAAACAGAGTCTCAAGCTGTCACCCTGGGTAGAGGACTATGGCTTCATAGCTCACAGCAACCTCTAACTCTTGAACTCAAGCTATCTTCTTTTTTGAAAAAAAAATTATTTTTTTTTTGAGACAGAGCCTCAAGCTGTCCCCCTGAGTAGAGTGCTGTGGCATCACAGCTCACAGCAAACTCCAGCTCCTGCCTCCGCCTTGTGATTCTCCTGCCTCCGCCTCCCAAGTAGCAGGGACTATAGGCGCCCACCACAACGCCCAGCTATTTTTTGGTTATTGTATGGCGGGCCCGGGCTGGATTCAAACCTGACACCTCAGGTGTATGTGACTGGTGCCTTAGCCACTTGAACTACAGGTGCCAATCCTCAAGCTATCTTCTTGCCTGTTTTTCTATTTTTAGTAGAGATGGGGGTGTTGATTTTTGCTCAGACTGGTCTTGAACTTGTGAGCTCAAGCAATCCATCTACCTCGGTCTTCCAGAGTCATAGGATTACAGGCATAAGCCACTGTGTCCAGCTTTAAATACATTTTTGGCTTATAGTTTCAACTTATGATGGGTTTATTGGCACACAAGCCCATCGTAAATTGAGGCACATCGGGATTAGGTGAAGTAATCAATAATCTAGATGAAGTAAGCAGTATTTTAGACTTAACTGAACAAATCAGCTATTTCATGGTAATAGGAAGGCATCCACCCAAGAGTTTTGAAAGTATGTATGTAAAATTATGAAACTCTTGACAAATATATGTGACCTGTCATTACAAAGGGTACTGGGCCAAAGCACTGGCCAGATGCCAGTGTGACTTCAACAAGCCTGAGAACCCTGAGAAATGCCTAGGGGCACTCAGCCTTCTATACGGGCAAGCTGGAACGCTCTAATAAAGAATAGGATCCTTGTACACTTAAAAAGGACCTTGGAGGGTAAACAACAATTCTGGTTACTAGAGTTTTTTTGAGTTGTCAGTCAGCTAATTATAAGTAATCAGTTGTAAAAGTTAGTAGAAATTGGGCAGCACCTGTGGCTCAGAGGAGTAGGGCACCGGCCCCATATGCTGGAGATTGCAGGTTCAAACCCAGCCTCTGCCAAAGACTGTAAAAACAAAAAAAAAAAAGTTAGTAGAAATTGAGAATCATTTGAAGTTCATTTTCAAAAATGGTAGTTGGGAGAAAGCTGACTTAAAGATAGAACTGTCACAACTCCAAGGAAGGAGTATATACACTAAAGAATCTGGGGTTTCCTGGGATTGATGTGCAGACTGGTCTTACTTGACAATGCAAACAACCTAGGAGACTGTGTATCCTGTGACATCTTCCAGCTTACTACCAGGCAACCAAGCACCATCAAGAAAAGCCTTACCTATAACTGAGAAAATGACATGAAGGCTGTGTTGACTAGTTGATGGAAGTATTTCAGATTGCATGTGAAAACCCCACACTGTACCCTAGAAGTGCATTAATGTACATAGTTACCGTTCAATAAAAAAAAAA